CTAACTTCTGGGTGTGCATGTGCAGAGAGTATGTATGAATAGAAGAGAAAGCTTTGTTATTGCTGGGTGATAGTGGCTCATGCCTGTAATCCTTGCTACTCACAAAGCTGAGATCTGAGGACTGCTATTTGAAGGCAGCCTGGGCGGGAGTCTGTGAGACTTCTTATCTCCAGTTAACCAGTAAGAAGTTCAAGTGGCAGAGCCTTGAATGAAAAGCACAGGGACAGTGCCCAGGCCCTGAGTTCAAGACCAGGACTGGCACAAACCCAGGATGTGGGGCATCATTATTTCCTGATAATCGGGGAAAGCTTTCTCTCTGTGCTTCTCTCTGGCAGTAAGAAAACACATTAATCTGCCAACTATGTCAAAATAATTACACTGACCTTCTCTGACTTTATGGGGAGGAATTTACAGGAGTATATGAATAACTCTGCATTTTCAAATATGTAATATGTGTACTTCCAAAAGCCAGATTATTTGTCCTTAAATATTAGCTCCTGTTATTAATTCATCAGCTAGAAACACAGGGATGTGGACATATTTTGCATAATTGTTTTACATAATTGTTTTACATAAAGATATTTTGGTTTGCTTATAGAGGAGAGAACACAGTGAAAATTACAGGTATTTGTTGGCATTAAAAAAAAAAAATCCTAGCTGGGGTCATGGTAGCTCATCTTGCCATCCTAGTTACTCAGGAAGCTGAGATCTGAGGCTGAAATCCAGCCCAGGAAAGGAAGTCTGTGAAATTCTAATTTCCAGTTAGTCACAAAAAGCCAGAAGCAGAGTTGTGGAGTGCAAGCCTTGAGTAGAAAAGCTCCAGTAGCAGCGCACGCACGTGCACTTACACACAAAATCCTTCATCTTGACCCTTCTCACTGTACTGATAGGTGGGGCATATAGTTTTTAAACTCCATAATCTGTAGCATCGGAAATAGCACAAGATGCCTAATTCTCTCTATATGCTTGTTTATCATGACTATTTCAATCACTAGAGAACTGGTTAGTAGAATAGAATACCTAAGGACTGTACTTAATTCTCTGTTGGTCTGTCACTATTTTCTTGAATACTTTGGCCTAACTTTACACTTCTGTGGGGGTTATTCACAAAACTGAAGTACATGTAAGTTTTGAACTCTGTAAAATGAGACAATCCTGCAGACACTATACACACACTCACACAATTTTTTTTTTACAATTCACTTGTGCCTTGGAGGGGGGGATAGTATTATCATTATTATTATTAAGAAGAAAAAAAAACACATTTTGTCCCAGTATACTGGCCACCCTGTTTTAAGAGTTTTAGAAATCCCTGAGCACATTGTTTCTGACTCTTAACCCCAACTCCAAAATGATAGGGCGTCTATCCTTGATACCAAGATGGATTGTCACTCACAGTAACTCATCATAAGGTGCTTAGTTACCCTCCCCCAACCAATCAGCACAAAGAACTGTCAGAAAATAACATTTTATTATTATCATTATCTTAAAATAGTAGCAGTGGAAGGACACATGGTTAAAACAATGTTTGAAAACAGTGGCTTTAGGATTATTATCTGGCTGCTTCTCAACAACAAGTGATTCGATCGACATTCCTTAGCCAAAAAAAAAAGGAAAAAAAAAACCACCCAAAACAAAAAAAACTGTACAAATATGTATTTTTTTTCCCTGAGGGATCAAGGTACACCCGCAAGAGCTCTATGTACATATTGCACTAACTAAGAGAGGAATGAGTAAGATGTGCAAAAAAGCAACAATGAGAAAAGCTCACACACTACTTAAACCTTTCCATGAAGGATTGTACTATGTTGTTTTGCATCTTGGAATGTCGGAACACAAACACCTAACTACTCCTTTGTCTAAAACTAACAAACAAAAACTAAAACACACCAAAAATACCAAAAACAAAACAAAACAAAACAACCCCATACATACATTTCTACTATGGCACATTCAATGAAATAAAAAGTTTTCCCAAAGACAGATAGACAAATCCCATCAAGAAAATAATACAAAGTTTTGTGTGTTTGTATTTTTTTTTTTAGAAAATTACATTACTTTCTTTGTTTCACATTACAAAATCTGTTTTTTTTTCCTTTACACAAATCACATTTTATTGCAGGAATAGTTCAAGTGCCATCAAATATTTATAGAAGGGTTAAAAAAATAGAAGTCTCTCTAAAGTGGTCCAGACAAGGCTTTGTATAGAATAAATCTTTTTTTTTTCTCCATCTTCTAAGTTTTGATTTAAGTCTTTTGAATACATTTTCTTTTCCACTGACACTTAGTAGCCTAGAAGCGATCCCACACACACACATCCACGCTCACATGCACACACGCACACACTCCCTCCTTCCTCCCCTGCCCCTCAGTCTACCCCCATACACTTACAAAGATCTGTTATCCACACTATAAAGAACAACCAAACTTAGCTGCAGTGTCTTAGGCGATGTTTTTAAGTTAGGAAGGGTGAATTAGGATGCTGAAGACTTAAAAGAAACAAAAAAACAAGATTTAACTAAAAAAAAAAAAAAAGTTGAACACTTATTTTAAAAAATCCGTAGCTTTCACACCATTTTCAGTCTGTCCAAAAAACACTTTCACCTACACTTCTGATTTCATTGTGACTAACGCCAGTACTTCACAATATTAACTTGATTGTTTGGACACCATGTGTGTCCACACACACACTCACACACCCACATACATATATTTTAAAGGCTTATTGGCCTTATGTAAAAAACAGTATATAAAGGGAACTACAGCAGACAAGCTGGCTATGAAGTGGTTCTAGTCCTTAAAAGACTAGTGGACATTTAAGTTTAGAATACTCTAATCAAATCAACTATTAAGATTATCTCTTTTGGTATCATCCAGGATTTTTATGTCACCCCATGAGTGTTTTTACTAATAAGGGAGAAAAAAATGCAAAGGTTTACATCCTTCTCTGGACTCCATATTCCTCTCAGTTGCATTTATTTGTTGAGCTTCAGATCCCATCTCAGATCAAAATAAAGAGTTCTCTCCATTTCTCTGAGCCCATCTCTGTCTCTACTGTTCTGTTCTCACACTGTCGGTGGACTTTGCTTTGAAAGTTTACCTCCTGCTTTTCATCCAGAAATGCTTTAGAAGCAGCAGTATATGACTTATAGATCGCCTAACTATTACTGAGATTAGAGCTTTTTTCTGTTTCCAAATTGGGTATGTGTAAAATCCTTTCTGAGCAAAGCAATTTCCTAAAGTTCAACATTGCATTCTCTCTCACCCTTAGAGAAGTTCAGTTGGCTTTTCTTCTTCTTCACAAATGGACACTGGAATTAGGTTTAGTTGCTCTTTAATATGCTAGCACCTGAGGCTGGTCATATTCAGAAAGCTTTGGTTAAAAACAAGTTAATATACTTTAATAAAACCATCCCTAAATTTAGTGAATTTAAATCACCAAAAGGGAAAACAAAACAACAACAAAACAACCCCATCCCCACCCACCTCACTAAAGGAGAGAGAACAGAAAAATACTGGACAAATAAATAAATGAACTTGGTACTCTTCAGAGTATAAATACTATGAATCTTTAAAGGAACTATGTACTTAAATAAAAATTTGATTTAACCCTTCTTGCCCAAATATAAATACTATACGCTGACAGTTAACCTCTGTATATAAACACTCACATAAAATTTTATATGCCTGTAAGATAGTTAAGTAAATATTACTCTTCTATTCATGGTTCAACCATTACTATATTTTTGAAAAAAATTTGGATGTTATTTAGGCTTCATACACACATCTGTGTAAATAATTCCTTCCCCTGTTCTAAATTCCCCAGGAAACAAGTCAATGGAGTTACACAGAGTGAGGTCTCTGGGAAGCCAGCCCTGGCCATCTAGATGGACATCAGCAGGAATCAGAGGATTCTAGAGGGACCCTAGTGTTGCAGAAGGCTCTCAAGTGCAAAGGGTTTCTGGGGGACTCCCCCTTTTATACCATACAATATATTCCCATGTCCTTAGAGCCATGTTCTTTGATGTCAGACCAGGAACTTGAGCCCCCATCCCTAGTGTGACTAAAAAGAAAAACGTTCTAAATGCCTACATTCCCCAAAGGTCCCTGGGCATTAAAATATGCACACCTGTGTACAGCGGACTGTTCATTTCTCTCTCTCCCACTGGGGATTATTAAAAAATAATACAAACAACAAAAAAACCTCAATATTTCTCACCTGAACACACAAGCCAACCAATCTTCTAAATATTGAGTAAAATAAATTAGAATCCACAGTTTTCTAGTAAGGGTAAACGCAAGAATAAACGTTGGCAGCTAGCATCAACTTCACTTTTAAAGGCTTAAAATACTTAAATAAGAAAAACAGGTCCAACCTCGAACACCTCCCTCACTCTTCTACCCATGGTCTACCAGGACCTAGAGGGCAGTGTTGTAGAACCGTGGTGTCTGGGAATAGCTAGTATAGAATCAGTGTACTCTTGAGATGAACTCTTGGGGTTCCTAGATTAAACCGAGAACATCAAACATTCACATCATGCTTTATTTCCTCAAACAATGCATGTGCCATTGTTCCAGATATAATCTTTGGGTTCTAGATTCTAATAAATATTCTGGTTACTTATTTGTTGTCAAAGCATTCCAAGTTGAGACTTAAGCCATGAGGACTGAATCTTGGACAAGGAACCTCTTTTCCCTAACCTCTCAAAGGTGGCATTTAAAGACACACACACGTGTGTGTGTGTGTGTGTGTGTGTGTGTGTGTGTGTGTGTGTGTGTGTCTTTAAATGCACTGGATGGTTTAAAAATGTCCACAGAGCTACTTTTTCAACTTTGTATGAAGCATAAACACATCGATTCTTAAACTTAACCAGAAAAAAACAAAAGCAAAGTATAATTTAGGGAGAATTCCATTTCAAATTCCAAATTTCACATGTGGGAAGAATATTTGCAATATTGTTGATTTCTAGATATGACCAGCCAGTCTTTTTAAAAAGTAATTTTGTAAACAGCAGCATAAATACCTCCCGACATACCTTCCAAGCCTTCTCAGTTCAACTTGTGTTTCTGGTGTACATGGAACACGACAGTGAACACAGCTAGCATTTAATTTAAAGAAAAAAAAAGGTGCAAAATGAAAGTGCCTTAATCAATTCAACAAGAAAAGCTACACCATAACTACATTTTATATTAATTAAAAACAATATATAAACAATCTCTCTTTTTCTTTAAGCTATATATAGTCTTCATGCCCATTTACCCTGTAATATATTATAATGCTATTGTTGGTAGAGCTCTTGCGCTCTTTTCTAGGCCGTCCTGCTGACTGGAAATACTCGGTGAGACAACGAAAAAACTTCCTTCATGAAACAGAGCAAAGTCGTGTGAAGTAAATGCTGCTACCTCCACCATACACACACACACACACCAGCCACCGATTTTTTTCTTGTTGGACTCTCCGTTGGAACGTACAGACTGGTCGAGCTGTAGAAAGTCTGGGCAGTGACCTACAAGGAAGGGGGAAAAAAAATCCTCCGACTTTAGTAAATCATCCTTCTGCTGTAAACAGAGGTCAAAGCTCGAGACGTCAAGACAGAAAAAAGGGTCCATATCTGTAGGCAGAATGGAAATCATATGCGTGAGAAAAACGAAGTTCAACTTTTATTTGCTTCCATTGTCTCCCCTCCTTTGCCTGACCCCCAATCACAAAAAAAAAAAAAAAAATGTGCAGTGTGTTGGCGCTCCAGGGCTGTCTGTGCAGGGCCATAAAAAGTGTCTTGGTTACTTTTTTTTTTTTATTGTTGTTGGTTTTTTTTTTTCCGTTTTCTTTTTCATATTTATACTTCAGACATTCTTGAAGTACTTGGGTGATAACCTTTACCCGTCAATTTGCATCGCTGGCTCAAATTCTGAAGTGAACAACTCTTTGTATAATGGAGGAAAATGAAGTCGTACAATGTCTGGGTATATTGCTTTAAATGCCATTAGCTTTTCTGTATGCCGTCCGCATAAGGCTCTTAACGTAGACACCTTGCATATTAACTGTAAGTGGGGGGAAAAAGGACACCATGTCAGGGGAGGACAGACATAAGGTTGTAAAAGAAATGAAGGAATCTGGATGCTCTTTATTTGCAACTTTGCTGACTGGGGAAACACAGTTGAAATTCTTACCCCTTTAATCATAGAGGACTGGTAAGAAAAAAAAAAGATCTTGTCCTGTCATTGACTGTTACAAATCACTGAGTGCTATTTCAAGGATGAACAATTTAACCTGAGGAAAGTATTCACAAGCCAAGTTGGTCCTGCTCATCAATGCTGGATCAAATGAGAACCTAAGGCGCTCTCCTCTTCTCCCTAATCCAAAGTGCTTTCTGCTCCACCATTTAGTCCCTTCTCTGTGGGAAGAGGGCGCGTGATGGACAAGTGGAGATAGTCCACGGTTATCTGGCCACCCCAACTATCCACCCCACATCTTATCCAGAACTTCAGTACTAGTTAGATCCAAGGATGTAACAGTTCTGCTCGCTAAACTATCCCTATTCATAGGGAGGCCAATATGCAATTCTACAGGTGACCTAGAGTCCGAAGGCCTGGATGGAAGTCCCTGCTTTGACCATGGGGCCATGACCCTTTGGGGACTAGTCATGTGCCAAGGGCTTCTGCCAGCATGCTCCACGCTATGCAGTAATTCAGCCACACCAATGAGAACCTGCGGGCTCACCTTTGTTAGTATTCCATCTTCTCGGTGGTTCTTCTGTAAGACATGTTGAAGAGCTAGCTGAATTTTCTGCTGCAGTTTTTCAATTTTTACCTTTTCCTGCAGCCAGGAGCGATCTAAATGTGAGAAATGGTTGTCTTTAGTGTCACTCCTCCAACAAGGCGTCAGGCCTCCCCCATTCTGCCCTCACCCCTGGGATGCAGATTTTCCTATGCTACAATGCACACTAAGAGATGCACAGTCTGGGTTTATTCTCCTTCCAAAATCTGCTGCTAAAAGAGTAGGAAAATGAACCATGACAGTGATAAAAAGAAATAGTGTTAACCTTCCCATTTTCACTGGTATTTGAAGGAAGGGAGCCATTGCAATGTAAGGCCATACAGGCAGAGCTGCAAATGAATCTGCCCTGGTCTGGCCAGGCTTTCATATACACTTCTCAAAGATGTTTTCTCAATCCTGCTAGCCTTTTTGGAAAATTGAAATTGCTTTATAATGCAGGTCTACTAAGGTTGTCAATCGAATTTCAAGGCTAGCCCCTCTACCACTTGAGTATAGCTCCACTTCTGGCTTTTTGGTGGTTAGAGGTAAGCGACTCTTGGCCTTTTCTGTCTGGACCAGCACTTGGCAGTGATCCTTGGACCTCAGCCTCCTGAGTAGGATTACAGGTGTGGGTTACCCAAACCCAGCAGGGGCCTTATGTTTATGCTTAGCTTTTTGGCTCAAGACTAGAGCTCTATCATTTGTGCCACACCACTGCTTCTGGCTTTTTGGTAGTTAATTGGAGGTGAAAGTCTCATGAGTTTATCTACTCAGACTGGCTTCAAACTGTCATTCTCGGATCCGCACTTTTCTTTTTCTTTCTTCCTTTCTTTTTGCCAGTCCTGGGCTTTGAACTGTGGGCCTAGGTGCTGTCCTTAAGCTCCTTTTGCTCAAGGCTAGCATTCTGCCACTTGAGCTACAGCTCCACTCCTGGCTTTTTCTGTGGTTAATTGGAGACAAGAGTCTTACAGGCTTTCTTGGCTTTCTGGGCTGGCTTCAAATGGTGATCCTCATGCGTGAGCCACCAGCACCTGGGCAGGTCTCTGCTTCTTGAGTAGCTAAGATTGCAAGTATGAGTGCACCCAGCTAGGTAGGGAGTCTTCAAAGGGCATGCTGCCTTGGAGGCTGGTGTTAAGAGCAGCAACTCTCCCACAGTGTTTGTGTTGGAACACAGAAGAAGTTAATTCTGGACTGGGTTTTACTTGGTTATCAGTCCCTAAGATTCTATCTAAAAGAAAAGATTCTACTGAAAAGAGGTCTGTGTTTGTGTCTGTAGAGGGGTTTTTTTGAAAACAGGAAAAAATAATTTACTAAGGCTAACAGGGGCTCTTGGAAGCCCCTCAGACACTCAGTTGCCAGTCAGAGGACTCACCTTGTAAAACTTCACCTGGACCATTTAACAACCACTTTCTTTCTCTTTAAATTTTATCGTAAAGGTGATGGACAGAGAGGATTCAGTTACGTAAGGTAATGGAGTTCATTTCTTTTTGATCAGTGTTACCCCTCCCTCACTCTTCCTCCCCAACCACTTTCTTTTTACCTGGTTGTCTTACCTGCTGACATCAGGACAAATGCAGAAAATAATGCAATTTCATCTTCAGTCAGGTGCATAGAACATAAACTCTTTCCAAATTCAAACACAAAGCTAATAAAGTCTTCACAACCTGGCAAAATACAAATAAAGGTAGTCTAAGATTATTTGGTTATTAACCTATTGGGAAAAATATGGAACAAGATAAAAAAGCTCCAGTCGTTGAAGATCAGTAAGCACAGTAATACCGTTTATAGTTCAAAAGCTGTGAGAGGATAAATTCACTCAACTTTGTTTTCAACTCTGTTATGTAAAACACTCATAGTTGGTCACTTAGGGCTCACACCTGTACTCCTAGCTATTCAGCTTGAGATCTGAGGATCGAGATTCAAAGCCAGCCCAGGCAGGAAAGTCCATGAGATTCTTATCTTCAATTAACCACCAAAAAAGCCAGAAGTGAAGGTCTGGCTCAATCCGTAGAATGCCAGCCTTGGGCGAAAAAAGCTAAGTAAGAGTGTGAGACCCTGAGTTCAAGCCCTAGTACTGGCACAGAAATAAATAAATCACCCTTAAAAATGATGACAAATGACACAGACTGACAGTAAAGCTACCATAATTATTTATCAAACTGATGACACAGAATGTAATGGTCAACAAAAAAATCAAATCTTCAATAGTCAGGTTAAGTTTGGTGTCTGTTCTTTCCGATTTACCTGTTACGTTTAAAAATAGCAGTGAGGTCTCCCATGCAATTTAAAGCAAATAACTTAATGCCATATATCTTGGATTCCTTTTCATTCTTCTTAATGACTAGATCTCACTTTAAGTTACAGAAATCCAGAACATTTTATTTATATAGTATATGCCATCTTTTGTTTTTTTCTTAGTTATATTTTATTTCTTGGCTATTTGTGTTTCCTTCTCATTAATGGTTTTTGTTTGAGGGTGTCAGGAAGGGCAGACATTTTGCTCTTTGCTTGATTTTTATGTACCAAATCATATTGTAAGTTACTTCAACATTTATCCACTGAAAATCTGATTTCTTAAAATCTGAAGGGGGGAAAGTCTATTGGAGATGAATAAGCTAGCTCAGGAGCAGGTTAGGCTGAGGTCGAGGTAGACTGTTTGCATATATGAGAACAGAACAGAGGAACAAGTCGAAATTGTCTTAGGAGGAAAAGAAGAGGAGCAGAGGGAGGGATAAAAGAGGTGCGATTGATTGGAATACATTGTAGACATGCATGGAAATCTCTCTCCCCCCAGTATAACTAATGTATGTTAGTTCAAACACATCAAAGAGGGGGAACTAGACGAATATGTACAATTAATTGCTTCAATCCCGAACTAGAAAGTAAAACTTGAGAGGTTTACCTACAGTGGAAGCCAAAAGCATTTGAGATGTATCACTTTCCCACAGTGACTAACTGCAGAAGCATAACGTCCTTTAATGTGGATGTGCAGTGGGCCAGCTTCCATGTTGTCCATTCAGTGCTTCCGTCCAACCCACCGCTTTCCTCAGATTGCCGATTTATGGACGAGATACCCTGAGATTTCCTTACCTAAGGATTTGAAGACATCTGGGCTGGCATACTTCCCATCAAAGTACACGGTGTTGTTCTGAGAGTCAAAGGCACGGCACATTCTGATAAACACCACCTCTAGGGAACCTGAGCAGAGGCAGAAGTGGTTTGGGTCATTTTTTCACTGGGAGTTTACTTCTCTCTGTCCCACAGGCCCAGCTTGAGACTATAAGCACAGGCTATTATGGTAAAACTCAGTTAACTGGAAGGAAGATTGATTTACAGGTGACTTTTTTTGTGTGTCAGTGCTGGGGCTTGAACTAAATGCTTGGGCACTGACCCTGAGCTCCTTTCTCAAGGCTAGAGCTCTACCATTTGAGCCAAAGAACCACTTCCGGCTTTTCCTAGAGATGAAGAGTCTCACAGACTTTCCTGCCTGGGCTGGCTTTGAACTGCAATCCTAAAATCTCAGCCTCCTGAGTAGCTGAGATTACAGGAGAGAGCCACCAGCACCCAGCTTTCTTGATACTGTTTTGCCTTGGAATGACAGTCTGAGTTGTTAGAACATCATTTATTCATATTTAGTATTCTTCATTATCCCCAAATTAAGGGATTACTGAACTCTACGCGCCCTCCCTAACAGGACCGCATGTTGGCACATGGAAGGGGTAAGACGCAGGAGATGATTACATTCAGGAATGGTGGTGTCTTTCACCTGAAACTTTTCTCTCAGGAGAAGCAAAATGAAAGACATGGTGCCTGAACCTGACTTTAAAAATCTTGAAAAAAATTAGGACTTAACTTTCTGCTAAGATAAATCTGAGTCCGTATCATTAGCAGGGAAAAAACCCCCACACTTGACACCTTCCTTAGCAAGCAATTTCTCTAACGAGCAGAAGGAAAGCACGTTAGGAAGAGACCTTAGAATCCTCTTGTAAAGCACATACCTGCTTTCAGAAGCACAATTTGATCATTTTGACACAACTCCATAAATCCATCAATGCGTTTGGCAAACTCCACCACATACTGTATAGCTTCTGTGATTTTGATGGCACATAATTGCCACATCACCTCCCGCTGCTGTGAGGGAGAAACACATGAGTATATCAGTTACCCAACACCTTTGGCACCGTGGCTTTGAGGACTGCTGGGTTCTAATATCCTCCTTTGGAAAATTGATTCAAAATGCCTAGAGGACTCACACAGAGACCCATGCAGAGTTTTCCTGTTATTCCAGTTATAAGGATTGTGTTTCTTCCTTCTCTGATTATGCTCTTACAGTTTGTGTGTGTGTGTGGACATGTGGGTGTGGGTGTGTGGTAAACAATGGGACAGGAGTAACATGTTACAAATATACAGGTCAGAAAAGGTGAACAGAAGTCAGGGAAACAGCACATGCCCATATATGTTTTAGCCCATACGTGTTTTGCCACAGAATGGTAAAAGTGGATCTTCTTTCAAACAAATCAGTTTGCTTGGGAAACTGAACAACAGTACTGAGAAGGAGGGGAAGAATAGGAGAACGGTAAAATGTATTAGGGTACCCATCTGTTGAGCTAGAGGCTGTGTGGCAGCCTCAACTCAGCATCTTCATAAGAACTTCTTCCTCATTGTCTAGATCTGACAATGGAGGAGCACATTTCACAGCTACGAGCTAGAGGAGCTGGATTCAAATCCATGCACACAGCCCACTGTGAAATGCCATTTCGTATGGCTTGCTGTGTCTTAACTGCTTTCTTGTCTCTGCTATGTAGCTTTGGAGAACAGGGCATCTGCTACCTCAAAGGCAAGCAAAGTAATATGTTGGCAGTTCCCACCTTGCCTGTTAATTTCCCTTCATGCAGTCACACTACAGTTTAATCTCAGGGTTGCCTGTTTCCCACTTGGTTTAAGACTGTATCTACAGACAATGTCTTTAAGACTATGTTTATATAATAAATAGGGTCTGAGAAACACTAAATTGTGAGCTAGGAATCCCAGCCTGGTCCTTATATTCCCATACTCTAGCCATATTCTATGGGATGTTAGTTTCCTCATGAAGGGGGGAATTAACCTAGATAATCCCCATGCTCTTTTGTAAGCTTGAATCTCTAATTACTGTGAAGACCCACCAGGTCTTCTTTTGCCAAAGGCAAATGGATTCTCAGAAGTTCTCAATCAGTATTGTATGGAAAAAGACAAGATGCAGCTCCATCCATCAGATTCATTATAAAAGATTCAGATCAGATTAGGATCTTAGCTACCAAACCCTGTATTTTTTGTTTTGTTTGTTTTCTGGTTGGTCCTGGGGTTTGAACTTGAGGCCTGGGTGCTGTCTCTGAGCTTCCTTGCTCAAAGCTAGTACTCTACCACATTGAGCTATAGCCCCACTTCTGGTTTTTTGGTGGTTAATTGGAGATAAGAATCTCAGACTTTGCTGTTGCAGCTGGCTTTGAACTGTAATCTTCAGATCTCAGCCTCCTGACTAGCTAGCATTACCGGTATAATCACTAGCACCCAGCTTCCAAACTCTATTTTTATATATGCTTTCTAAACTCCTGGTTAACCTCTGGTAACATGAGGCTGAGCTCCTTTGACATCAACTTCTAGACCTTAAAAATCTTCCTTTGGAAGATTAGAACAAGTTTGTACAGACTTTGGGAAGTGTTTGATCAGGTTCTGTGTTGACACACAGAGGGAGCTATGTGTGCGCACACAAACCAAAAAGAAATCGCCACATCTCAGTGACAACAACAAAGCCTCAAGCTCTGGAAGAAATGATTTTGTTAAGCAGAAATCTGATATCTGAGGAAAGCCATTCATTCTGTTTGCTTAAATCAATCTCTTACACCCTTTCCCAATGTGGCTTCACAGTCTTAAGGAAAATCCTTCGGGTTCTACCTTGTTTTGATAGTTCTCAATTTCTTCCTGCAGGAAGGTCTGCCACGTGATCTGCTGCAGCTCTTCTCTCAAGTATTGGCAGGTTTCCAGGTGTGACTTAGATATATTCTGTGCAAGGTGTTCTAAGGAGAAAAGGAGAAGTCACAAATATGGAAAGCCACTTTTTTGTTTGATAAGCAGTGATTCCTTAACTATTTGCTTTAGAAAGTAGTAAGTAAGCCAGATGCTAGTGACTCATACTGTAATCTTAGCCCCCTGGAAGTTGAGATCTGAGGATTATGATTTGAAAAGTCTGATAGCGGGCAGAAAAATCAGAGACATCTCCAGTCAACTAGCAAAAAAAGTAGGAAGTGGAGGTACGGCTCAAGTGGTACAGCACCAGCCTTGAGCGGACAAAGCCAAGGGACAGTGCTACTCCCAGGGTTCATTCCCCAGTATGGTACAAAAGGAATGATGAGTGTCCATACTGCTTTTATCGAAAGAAGAAACGAGATCACTCTGTGTTGGGAAACTTGAGGATGGAGGACAGGGCCTTGGCAAAGCCAGTGTCAATGGCTGGATGACTTCAAAGACTTGGCCAACCTTGAGCTTGGTTTTTTTTTTTTTTTTTTTTGGTGCATTTACCTCACTGTCTGGGAATGAACAACTATTGACCTACTTAAGAATGGGAAAATGATGGATGGGAACTTGGTGGCGTTTTAATGACACTCAAGGGAATGATTATGCTTGGACAAGTAGGAAATTGTATTTGTCAGTGACGACGACGACAACTCTGCATTTGCTTATCCTACTAGTGGCGGGCCAAATAACGCTGAGCTAGTGATGAGGGAAGTAAAGAGCTAGACTCTGGATAGAGATGAGCTGCGTCTGTACCTCAGCCCCGTGACTTACTTGCTGTATGATCTGGGGTATGTTGCTCAGCCTTTCTGTGCTTTAACTTCCTCATCTGTGAAAGGGAGGGCAGTTTAATAGAGCTCTCTGTTTTCTGGGGCTGCTGTGAGAGTTCGTGAGTTTGAGCAGGCAGGAATGGGGAGGGTCACGTAGCGTGTGCTGTGTTGTTACACCTGAGCGCAAGAGGATGGAGTAGACTGAAGTAAGGACCAGACGACATTAGCACGTTCGGTGCCAGGGATATGTGCAGACAAAACTGAAACAGGTAATTCAAGTCAGTAGACCAGGAAATAACAAAAGTGAATTACAGCTGAGCTCTGGTGACTCATGCCTGCAATCCTCGTGGCTCAGGAGGTTGTGGTTCAAAGCCGACCTGGGCAGGAAAAGTCTGTGAGACTCATATGAACCACAGAAAAAGCCAGAAGTACAGTTGTAGCTCACATGGTAGAGTGTTAGCTTTGAGTGCAATAGCTCAGGGATGGTACCCAGGTCCTGAGTTCAAGCCTCAGTCCTGTCACACAAGCATACATACAGTCAAGGCCCTGAGTTCAGGCTGGTAGTATAGGCTGGACACAAGTATGTTCATGTGTGCGCGTGTGCATGCACACACACAAAATTATATCACAAGATAAAGAAAAAATAAGTGGGAGAGGTCAGTGTTGACTCAGGAAGACTGCTGCTTCTTGGTGGAAGAGGACCCTTCCCAGTGGACACCGAAGGACAGCTAAGCCTGGCAGGCAGAGCCCCCTGGTGTGGATGATTAGTTTGTGTAGAATGTCCGGTGGATGAAAGAACAAACATGACATTTTCAGGGGACGGTCAAATGTGATTAAGATAATAGTGCTGAAACAGAAAAGAAGTCGGGCACTGGTGACTCACACCTAGAATCCTTGCTATACAGGAGATTGAGATCTGCGGATCACGGTTTGAAGTCCATGAGTCTTTTATCGCCAGTTAACCACTAAAAGTCCAAAAGTGGAGCTGTGGCTGAAGTGGAAGAGCACTGACCTTGAGTGAAAAAGCTAAGGGACATCATCCAGGCCCTGAGTTCGAGTTCAGAAATGTGGATGCATGTGCATCCCAGAGGTGGTCAAGACCTAGCCTGCTTGAGAATCTTTAATCAGAATGACATGGCAACAAGCAAATGGCAGGATTTTCTAGTGAGAGTTGCCAACTGAACTTTTGTGCCTGGGGACAGAGGACAAGCAATTTTGAGCTTGGATTGAAGCAGAGAGGCCGAGTCAGGAGAACCAAGTAGAAGGCTGCTGGAATGTAGATGTGAGGGACGGAGCATGAAATAGGTTGGTAATAATTGTTCTGGAAAGGAGGAGAATGCCCACAGATGTATTTAAAAGAACCCATGAAATTCCATGAACATGAAATCGTGCCCAAAGATTCCCCCTCCTAGGGTCTTGAATATATAATAAGCAAGCTACTTAAAAAAACGTGAACTTGGCAACCCTAGTCAGTGTGTCTGTTTGCAAATTAGTTACTGTTTTCTTCCAGAAGGAGCTGTGTGTGAAAACAGAGCAGGTTCACCTAAAGAGAGTCTGAGAGGAAAATCTCCTTGGAGACACGGAAACAATAAATCTTAGCAGCTCTATTTGCAGATACACAGAAACATTAAGACAGCATGAATAAATACCGTTATGATTAAAAAAAATTAAAAAAAGTAAAGAGAAATGAACAGAGGGAGAATCCAGCAGATTATGTGTGTTGGAACAGATGATGGTTATGAAGATTGAAGACAAAAATGACAGGACTCAGAGATCAGATAATTACTGTACAAACTAGTGAACTTTCTCCAATGAAATAATATCTAAAATATCTTCCATGACATGGAGCAAGTTTTGCATTTATGAGAAAAAAATCAGAATGTTCACAGGGTAAGTGAAAGATGGGAAGTTGCTTTTTAAAGTTAATGTTGTCAGCATCTTGCTTCATTGTAATTTTCTTTAAAAAATGTCTCCAGGGCTGTGGGCATAGTTCAGTGGAGAGTCCCTGTCTGGCATGGCCAACACCCTGGGTTTTGTCTCCAGTTTTGTGAAGCTGACAACTAGAGACTGACTTTTAAAGAACAGCCAGTGAGGGGCTGGGAAGGTGGCTCAGTGGTAGAGTGCTTGCCTTGCATGCCTGAGGCCCTGGGTTCGATTCCTCAGCACCACATAAGCAAAAAGAAAAAAGCCGGAAGTGGCGCTGTGGCTCAAGTGATAGAGCGCTAGCCTTGAGCTGAAGAGCTGAGGGACAGCACCCAGGCCCAGAGTTCAGGCCCCACGACCAGACCCAAAAAAAAAAAAAAAAAAAAGAACAGCCAGTGAAACCAGCAACAGTTCACTGCACATATTGTACCAGTAGAGGGCAGCAGTCACATCTGCACAAATTCACTGCCTGCCTGTTCACAATAGATTTGGTCTTAAGATTTTAGAGACGTGGTGACTTTAAAGATCTGACTATGGTCAGAATGACTACAAGTTAATAAGCTAGTGTGGCCTGGAAGAGAAACTTTACGGAACAACGAAATACCTAAGATGCTCATTACAGGACCCGGTTTGGGGACAGAGCTCCTCTCTCAAGCAGAACTGCTCCATCCACACAGAGAGCCTTTGGATACACTCTTGGCTTCTGACTTACACACTTTCAGAGTGAGAAAGACTTTAGATCTCATCGGTCCACTCATTAGTGATGAACATTTTATGCCCCTTTGCTCTGAGCCAAGAGCCAACAATTTACATCCATTCTGAATACATTCATCTTCTCAATCCTCATAACTCCTGGAAAAAGGTGTCAGTCCTCTCTCCCATGGTACAGATGAGAAATCTGAGTCACAGTAGAGATGACATTCCTCAGGGTGTCCTAGCTATGAGTCAAATTCAATCTGGTTTCAGAGTCTGTGCTCAACCTTTCTAATCTATAGGAGGGGAAACTGTAGCTTGCATTTATACAACTTATACTGGGCTGGACAATTTATATGAACTGTGTCTAATTAGGTACTATCATGTAAAGTTGGGTACAATTGTCTCATGTCTGATGTATCACTTATCTCTCCTGCGTAGGCATTTACTACAATTTAAAAATGAGCTGAGATTATTGATCTAGGGTATGTAAATCAGCTATACATAAAGGACAAGATTTCCTAGCCAACATAAAGACACACCCAAAACCCCACAGAACAAAATGGCTGGTTATTGTGATTGAAAGGGTGTTGAGTACTATCACTGGAAGGTAGAACTGGACTCAGGATACTTTATGCTTTATTTTCCTAGTGTGGAATTGATGTCATGTGTTTACAAGTCTGCTAACAACTTTTAGCCTAAATCCAAGTCAAGAGACTTAGTGAAGGGCAATTGCAGAACTTAAATGGAAATAATCCAGTAATTTTAGGTGGCTCTGAAGAAGGCACCATCAGGCTTGGGCATTTGTATGCTGCTTTTAGCTTCCTGAACCACTCTGCACATAGAGTTAAGAAAACTAAAGCTTGATTTTATCTTATCCAGAAAATTCTGGTTTAATTTTCAGTCTGGTTCTCCTCCTTACCCTAAGGTCTCAGTTAATTCAAACTGGGAGATGCTACAATCCATGTGAAAAGAGCAAAGTTAGGGGCCCAAGATTCCTTGCCCGGTGCTGTAAGGTAACCACTGGGTCTGGGCAGACCCTTGGGGAAGCAGCCCAGCAATTTCTGGCCACATCAAAGTGTCTGACATGTGCAAGGGCAAACCTTGTGTAAGCCCTATGGATCTGTAGATGTGTGTGTGTGTGTGTGTGTGTGTGTGTGTGTGTGTGTGTGTGTGTACAGGTGTGCATGTATGCATGGGTCAGTACTGGGGCTTAACTTGGGACCTCACTACCACTTCTAGCGTTTTGCTGGGTAAGTGGAGATAAGAGACTCTTGGATTTATCTACCTGGGGTTAGCTTTGAACCCTGAATCTCAGATCTCAGCCTCCTGAGTAGCTAGGATTACAGATGTGAGCCACCAACACGTGGCTAGCCCTAGTGGTTTTATTTTAGGACTGCCTATGGGGCAAGTACACAGGATGAGCCACTAATATTTATGGTTAAGGTCATTCTTCATGAACCAAGTCCACTTTCAGTCGAATTCTCATTCACTTCAGAAAATTTTATTCTTATTACAATTCTGCTTAAGTCTCAGCTAACCAAGATTTCATGACAAAAGGGGAAGGTTTTCTTTTCTCTTTTTTTTTTTCTAGTCTAAGAAAAAAAAAATCAAACCAACCTGTGCTCAGCTTGGCTTCTAGTTCAGAAGTTTCTCTGCTAATCAAAAGAGTTGTAATACACAAGTAGCTGTTCACTGGTTAAAGACCAGGCTTAAAATGGTTCTCAAGGATTTAAATTTAGACCCATAAAGAGATACTTGGATTAAAAAAAAAAACCTGTAGAGAATATTCAGTTTGTTCTAACGGGAGCAAGATTTCTCTGGAAATACAAATTTACTTAAAAGGCATTTTATAGAGTGTAGAGGTTGGAACCTGTGACCTGAGGATTTCGGGGTTTGTCAGCCTGCTGCTTCCTTTCTGTAGGAGCCTTCGTTCTCTCCTTGCTATTGCTTCCTTGTCTCCCTAGCAGCTCATTGAAATATGCCAAAGGCTGTGATCTCGGTTGAAGGATCACTGCAAAGAGGCTGTCAAATTCTTCACCCGCAAAGACACTCATTCCCCTTTCTGACAACAGTGCTACATTTAAAAATCAATTAAACACAGCAGAGGGTGTAAACATACCTTCCTGGCAATGGGAAAGCTTTCCATTGTTCATGGTGACCACATTTCTAGGTCATGCATCTCAAGAACCAGTTGTGTCCCAGCAAGAGGACACAAAAGAATACGGTGTATTCTCTCCCCACCCCTTTCCTTTGGGCCTATGAGCCTCAAATGAAATACATTAATTTTGTCACCCAGCTCAAATCTCACAGCATTTTGTCAAGAAAAGAAGCTAATTATTTCCCTTTGACATCTGTAGTAGCCACAGGAAAGCAAACCTTAATGATGGAAAGTGGTGGAGGGGGTTGGGGAACATAGGATATGTTATTCCAGACCGGGGACCGTTGGTTGCTGACATTCCTAAATATGGGACCCAGGCAAGGAGATCTTGACAATCGGAACTCGTATTAGAAGTGCTCAAGTCTAGTGAGGGAGGGTGGGAAAGCCAAGAGACAGGCCAACAGGTACAGAATTACAGTTCCATAAGAGGAAAAAAGTTCTGATATTCTGGTGCATAACAGGAAGATTGTAGATAATAGTAATGCAGTTATACCTTTCAAACCAGCTCAGAGAGGATTTTGAGTGTTCTCACTGTACAAGAAACGATGAGGTAAGAGATATCTATGTACTTTATTTGATCATTACACAGCTGTATGATTCAAAATGCCATACCCCTCTCCATAATCACAATTAGTATGTGTTGATTAAAAACAAAAAGTAGATTTTAGAGAGTAAGACTCTACTGTGGTTTATAAAAGGTCTACAGCCAGAGCCAATGTGTGGACAGTTATTATTTTGGTGGCCTTGGTGTGTGTGTGTGTGGGTGTGTGTATACAGCAATGCCTTGGATAGACCTAAAGTAGATATCTAAGTGAACCCGGCCATTCCCAGGACTTACTGTTTTCAGCAGAATTTAAGGACTGTGCACATGCATCATTTTGGCTCATTTCTGAACTGAGATCAATGTATTTAGTATAGTCACCGGACAAAAGCAAGGGGAAGTGGCTGAAATTTGAAGTGGCACTGCTGCAGTTTTGATTTTCTTTTCCTAGAGGGGTGGAGGGAAGTATAGGGATTTGAACTCGGGTCCTCATGCTTGCAAGGCTACTGCTTTTCTACTTGAGCCACTGAGGCACACCCCTAACTCTTTCAGTTATTTTTCCATATGGGGCCTCCTTTTTACCTTAGCTGGTATGTATATTCCTACTCCTCTCTCTTTTGTAGCTGGGAAGATGGAGAGCAAGACAGGTGTCTTGCTAACGTTTTGCCTAAGCTAGCTTTACCCATGATCTTCTTTTCTCCCCACCTGCCTTTGTAGCTGGGATTATAGGCTTGAGCCACTACAGCTGGCCCAGTAAATTGTATCACTTTAATAGATGTTAAAATGGGACACACCCATTTCACATCAAGGGGCATGTGCAGAGCAAGCCAGTGTGAAGCAAACCCATCTTTACCTAGTTCTGCCATGGACACGGTTGGGGAAGTCTCGCCATTGGTGAAGGAGCAGTAGGGAAAGAAACCGGATGCTGGTGTGTAGTCACAAATGGGTTCTGGTTTGATCCCATTGATATCGAGCCCGGACTGGTCTGGGGAGGGCTGGATGTCCAGGTAGAAGCTGCTGACAGCAGAGTCGGCCTTGCTGCCCTCGGGGGTGTGGCCGTCCATGTAGGTGCTGAGGTCATCGTGCAGCTCTGTCAGCCCATTGGCTGAGATGTTGTAGGTGGGTGTCAGCGGCTCTGCCTCTCCAGGCTGCTGCTGGTGGTCTCGCTGCTGCTGCTGCATCCGGTGCTTCTGCACTTCTGCATACAAGCTGTCTCTCTGCTTTTTGGACATTCGGCCGAATTTGACAGCTACAAGAAAAGCAAAATGCCAACCACACCATAAACAACCAGCTAGACTTCATTATCCACTCCCTAGTGCTTCTAGGTGCCCTTAAGATCTAAGACACTGTCCAACGCCAACCTGAGTTGCCACAGAATAATGACGGTGTGCCCAGGTGACCACACTGTCTGTATCTGTTTCATAAAAAGACCCAGGAAGGGGGAGAGCGCCCTGCCTCTATTTTCCTGCTGCTATGGACCCTGGGATTCGCTAGGGACCAAGAGATGAACTTAATGTGTTTGTTCATCTCCATCCATGTAGTTGACCTAGCTCTTCTAGCTCCTCTGCCTCTTTCCAGTATTGACTGCTAAGAACAGCATGCCGGACTCTTTGGGTACGCTGAAGCAGAAGGGGTTCTCATCTGAGTTTTCATTGAGCTCTCTGTTTTGGGCATTCACATAAGCAGCTTTCTGACCTAACAGCTGGATCTGGAGCTGCATGGAAAGGTGTGAGCAGGTTAGATGTGCCTTTGTAATGTCCTGAATTGCATCTGAGTGTGATTTAAGAAGTAGTTCTTTCCTACTACTCAATCTTTGGATTCTTTTGTTGTTGGTGGTGGTGTTTTTGGAGGTAGGGGTCATGTTATGGAGTCCAGGCCAGCCTCAGACTCCCTCAGACTCCAAAGTAGCTGGGACTACAGGCACACATCACTGCCCTATCTGAAGGTGACAAACCCTTCTTTGCTCATTTAACTATTCAGGAGAGAGAACAACATGAATTTGAAAAGGCAGACATGGCGAGACACTGTCAGGTGGATCTGTGTTTGCAGTGCCTCTCTTTACTTCTGAGTTATTCAGAGCCCCATGTCCTTCTGAGGCCCCCAGACAATTGACAAAAAAAAAAAAAAAACCTCTGATTTTTCTAGTCTGAATTCTCCCACTAATTTACTTCTCAGCTTGACTCGAGATGCAGATAAGCCTCTGCCAGAGGGACTTAGTTCTCCCAATTGGTTGTGGTTAAATTGATTCTGTATTGGGAGGCAACCTCATCTTTCTGACCAGCAGCGTAATTGCATGAGGCAGGACATGAAGGAAATAGCACGTTGGCCAGCAGGTGGCTTCTTTCCCTGCCAGGAGGATATGCTGTCCCTCTGGAAGCAGGGCAGTTTTCACCACTCAGAAACTTAACAGTCAGGCTGGGGAGGACTCTTAAGTTTAGGAAAGCTCCCAGATTCAGTCCACCCCTACAACTGTACTTTGTCTTTCTCCCTCCCTCCCTCTCTCCCTTCTTCCTTCCTCTCTTTCCCTCCTTCCTTTCTTCCTTCCCCCCTCCTTCTTTCCCTCCCTCCTCTTTTTCTTTCAACTATTTTTTGGTGTTGGTACAGGGACTTGAACTCAAGAAGGTGTCCTCATTCTTGCTTAGCTTTTTCCATGCAAGAAAACCATTCTACCTGCTTGAGCCACACCTCCACTTCTGGCTTTTGGCTTGTTACCAGTCATAACAATTTCTCAGATTTATCTGCCTGGGCTGGTTTCACACCTTGATCCTCAGATCTCAGCCTCCTGAGTTGGCTAGGATTACAGGTGTGAGCCACCAGTGCCTGACTTGTGCACATGATATTTCTTATGTGTCAGTTTTTCAGAAGGCATGCTGAAAATTTTTTGCAGGAGAATATTCAGGAGTGACACTCTGCTTCAACTCCACTTTTGCTGTAATATTAGCAATAATCCTGCCATCCAGGAAGTGAAATGAAAGGACCAAGAGAGAATAAACCCAAGCTTAGTTTTAACTCAAGGGTTCCTAAGAGTGAGCTATGTCTACCTTTGTCAGTTTATGATCATGGGAAGGGGAATCTGCAGAGTTGTTTGTCTTAAAAACTTTTGAGAATGTGAGGTTCTATGTAACTTGTATCTCCAAGACCTATGTTTTTTTTTCTGTGTGGGTACTAAGGTTGAATTCAGGGATACACATTTGCTCAGCTTGCTTGCTGGGTTGGTGCTCTATCACTTGAGCCATGCCTCCTAACTCTGCTTTTAGCTGGTTATTTTGGAGATGCTTGGATTTGTCTGCCAAGGCTGGCTTTGAATTGAGATCCTCTGGATCTCAGTCTCCTTAATAACAAGGATTAAGAAGTATGAGCAACCAGCCCCTGGCTAAAACTTTTGTACTCATGCACAGAGCAGTCTCTTGCCTGGGTGGCCTACAGACCCTAAGGACAGGGAAGGCAGGCATTCCTCCCCTGAACTTCCAGAGGTGTGAACTGCTGTGCCTTTTCTTCAGGCAGCTAGCTGGTATATTCAGAGAAATCCTTCAAATGGACTTGCTGTCCTCGCTTCCCAGTTTCCACATGAAGAATAACCACCTTCAAGTCTGGTGTGGATTATCTAGTGCACGTAGAATAGTTTTCCAGGAAGATCTTGAAATGTTCTAGAATTAAATGGTAGCTATTGTCCAGTCCTTATTTTTTTTTAAATAGCTTTTTTTTTTGGTTGGTCATGGGGCTTGAACTCTGGGCCTGGGCACTGTTCTTCAGCTCTTCAGTTCAAGGCTAGTGCTCTACCACTTAAGCCACAGCACCACTTCTGGTTTTCTGAATGGTTTATTGGAGATAAGAGTCTCACTGACTTTTCCTGCCTGGGCTGGCTTTGAACCACGATCATCAGAACTCAGCCTCCTGAATAGCTAGGATTACAGGCATGAGCCACTGGTACCCGGCTTAAAATAGCTTTTCAATGAAAGGCACATTTGTCATCAAGCCATAATCTGCACTATTTTCACCCTTTCTGGAGAAATATTTGACTTTGCCATGTGATTCCAAAGATCTAGTTGGGGCTGGGAAGGTGGCTCAGTGGTAGAGTGCTTGCCTTGCATGCATGAGGCCCTGGGTTCGATTCTTCAGCACCACATAAACAGAAAAAGCCAGAAGTGGTGCTGTGGCTCAAGTGGTAGTGCTAGCCTTGAGCTGAAGAGCTCAGGGACAGCACCCAGGCCCAGAGTTCAAACCCCATGACCGACAAAAAAAAAAAAAATCTAGTTAACAACAAAAAAGATCTCTTTCATTGTAACAGTTCATGAACTTTTGAGTTAAGGGATCTGATAAGCCTGGCTTGTATTTACTCTGTGAGGAAAATGCCTATTGGAGGTATATTCATGAAGGCTCCTAGATCATACTTAGGATTAACCAATTCACACCCCTGCAGTGTCTGAAATGTCAAGAATCAGATGGTTTTCCAGCTATGAGACTTGTCACTTCTAATCCCCCCTCCTCTTTCCATCAGCTAGTCGACTTACATCGATCACAGGGAGAAATCTGCCAGCTCTCTGAAGGGAGCTGATTCTGTCAGATCTGGTCCTTGTTTTTGAAGGTATATTTCCACCTTCTGATTGGGCACCACTCCCAACTGTGTGAGTGTGAGTGTGTGTGTGTGTGAGAAAGAGTGAGAGGGAGAGAGCACTCACCATCACGAGACATCCCCACAGCCAGACATTTCTGCAACCGGCAGTGTTGACAACGGTTCCTGCTGGTTCGATCAATCAAACAGTTCTTCTGCCGGGGACAGGAGTAGGTGGCGTTACTTTGCTGACTTCTCCTGAAAAAGCCCTGTGATTCAGTTACAAAACAAAAAGCAGGTTAGTGTCAGTGTGAGTGCGATGATGCTCACGGCGGTATCCTCAGCACCGAGCGGCATTAATATTTAATGGAGAATTCGACTCGTAGCAGAATCATCCAGGAGCCCATTAATGAAATTAAAGTCACTTCTTTTTCCTGGAGGAAAATTGATCCCCAGAGCCTAATCCTGCATCCCTTATACATGCAAAACTTTAACTTCGATAGTTGCCCATGTAAAAGGCACCAGACTAAGCTCCTGTTCTTGGCATCTGATGATGGAAAGTCATGTGCTTGGTTCCTCTTTAATCTTTATTGCCAAAGTAATTTTAATATATAAACATAAAACATCTCTCTGGGATGTTCAGAGTTAAGGACATGGCAATTATACCATAATCTAGAACGTTATAATCATGTTACACTAAAAAGCTTTTTGTTTTTGTGCTAGTCCTCAGGCTTGAACCCAAGGCCTGGGTGCTGTCTCAGAGCGTTTGAGCTTAAGGTGAATATTCTACCACTGGAGCCACAGCTCCATTTCCACACAATTTTGGTAGTTAAACTGGAGATGAGTTTCACACACTTTCCTGGCCAGGCTGGCTTTGAACAGCAGTCCTCAGATGTCAGCCTCCTAAGTAGGTAGGAATACAGGTGTGAGCCACTGGCACCCAGGTAGCCTGTATTTTCATTGTTGAAAATACAAAACCCCTATCTTACAGGGGTTTTGTAAGTGAGCTGTGTGTATAGCTGGAGTTGTCAGGTTTGTGATGTATAGACAGGACAAAATTAGCATCTCAAAGCTTCAGTGGTAAGGATGGATGACTACAGCGGAGGGAACACTAGTGGACAGGAGAGAGTAAAACCCTGGTGAGCTTGACCACAGTACTCTTGAAGAGGTTTTTCTCGAAGCCATTTTGACCCATGTGCACTCAGATTTTTTTTATCCTACTACAATGTACAGGTAGAAAGGCATACAAGCTACTTGAAAGACCAATCTTAGCATGACCACTTTCTCTGTGTGGTGACCAGGAGGCTTTGTGGAGTAAATCATTGCATATGATGTACTGGGCCTCAGTTATGAGTTTGTCGGAAAATGATCCCAGGAAGGTGTGTATGGGGCAGAATTCTGATTTCACCTCTTCTTGCGCACTTGCTAACCTAGATACAAGCAGTGCTAAGGGCTGGGCCTCTCAAGCCTGTCTTTATTGTACTTTAGATGCGCCTATGTCAAGTCTGGCCTCTTCAGTAAAGTGGTCTCTTCTCAAAATACCTACAAGTGCACGCTCTCTCTCTCTCCCCTCTCTCCACACCCGCCACCCCTTCCTGTGAAAACAGAGAGAAGAAGCAAAGCCTTCTTTGTGTTTAGTGTAGACAATCTAAGAAAATATTAAAGCAGATAATCTTTTGAAAGAGATCCGGGAGATCACCTAGCTAGGCATTTATTTCAGTGTGACACAGACAGTCTCTGTCAATGCTGAGAGGTTTGTCTTGAGTCTCAGCCATTACTCAAACCCTCTTTTGCTCATGCTTTTTTAGGGCTCAAATCAGAAACTTATTTGTGTGGCTACTGGTGGCTCATGCCTGTAATCCTAGCTACTCAGGAAACTTGATATCTAAGGACTCAGGTTCAAAGCCAGCCTGAAAAGAAACATCTGGGAGACTTTTATCTCCAATTAACCAGCAAAATCTGGAAGTAGAGGTGTGGCTCAAGTAGTAGAGCACCAGGTTTGAGTGGAAAAAGTGAAATGTAAGAGGACCTGAGTTCAAGCCCCAGTCCTGACACACAGGTTAGTTGAGGTAGAACTGTGGGCTTCACGTTCAAACTGACATGATCAATGAGATATAGAATATCTGGTTATTTTCTTGTTTTCCTCTCAATGGAACTAGGATTTGGTGGGCTGTCGAAGGTCACAGGATCTGTCATTTTTCCCTTTCTGGGCTCTTTCCCACTTGTAATATTTCTTCTCAGAGCCCTCTCCAACTCTTTCACTTCTGCCAAAAGCCAGAAGTGCGGAACTTGAGACAAGAGAGCTTGAGTCATGGTTGGAACCTTGATGAAAGGGATGCTGTGTCTTGGTTTCCCCATTATTAATTTCACATCACACCACTACAAAGTTCTAGAATGTTTGCATGGAAGCCATATATAACCACCAGTTTTTTCTAGAACAAGGGAACTTTGAGAGGGCCTCATGATGATGCACACATAGACAGATCCTAATGAGGACTGGCATTAATCGTATCTTGTTTTTCAGTGGTTTTGATGCTTAGATGTATGGTCACTGATGGGCCTGAAGGCACTGCCCTTCCCAGACCTAACCAGGCCCCACAGTGAGGCTTTCACAGACAAACCACTTATATCCAACAGTCTCCTTTATTAGACATCGGTTGTCCTCCGCCCTCGCCACCCCAGGACCCAGACAGGGCTATGCGTTAACTCCCTCTGTGTTGAAACTAGCCAATCTTAAACCTGCCGAACTACAATAGAGGCCCTGGGCCCATGTTTTCCTGTCTCTCCCTCTGACTCTTGATCCATCCCACGCTTCCCTGCTGTGGTCCTCCATCCTCCCACCCTGCCACCCCCTTTACCCCCAGCATGGCTTGTCATAGATTATGTTTCTAGAGATTTGGGAATATAACCAGTGTCTCCACAAGTCCTTTCCACATGTGGGTGTCCTGTGGTATTTGATTAGAACAAATGTTAGGTACCAATGGAACAGTGCTTACCCCATGAGTTATGTGGATAGTGACACGTGAACGTGGCCAGGTGCTGCCGTTGCCTTCATTATCAGGGTAAGAGTGAGGGAAAGTAAGTTTTGTGAGGGGGAAGCAGCTTGCTCAGAATCCCACATGAAGTATGAGGTCATGTTGGTGTATGCATTTTTGGGGTCTCCTACTGTTATTTCTGTTTGTCTGCTTCCCTTGTATAGCAGAAGGATTCTTTTAGCTATACAAGGCAGCCATAAATCAGTATTTTTAAAAAAAATTGCATAATAATGTAATAAGACCAGTCTCACTCTGGAAATTGTTTTCAGCTGGCCCAGGTTTCTGCTCCCCAGACATTTTTATGAGATTCTCCTGTAGAGGTGTAGCTTTGTAGTGGTGTAGCTTAAGTGGTATAGAGGTTGACAGTCACATGAGACACCTGTTTATGATTCCATCATTTCTGGCATTTCTGTCTGGAAGTAATATGTCCCTTTGGATTCGCCTTACCTATCTACACGCAGTCACTTTACAAAGCAGTCACTATCATTAAAAAATGTCTGAGATGAGTCGTACTCATAAATTAACATGTTGAATTGAAACCCCTTTATACAACTACTTTAAAGATAATTTAAAAATAGTGGTGCTGTGGGTCTAGAGCGCTTGCCTTGAGCTGAAGAGCTCAGGGACAACGCCCAGGTCCAGAGTTCAAGCCCTATGACCGACAAAAAAAATTTATAAAAATAAAGCCTGAATAGCCAGGCCCTGATAACTCATGTCTGTAACCTTAGCTACTCAGGAGGCTGAGATCTGAGAATCACAGAGCCAGCCAAAGCAGAAAAGTCCCTGAGACTCTTCAATTAACTACCCTAGAAAGCCAAAAGTAGAGGTGTTAGCTCAAATGGTAGATTACCATCCTTGATCAAAAATGCCAACTTAGAGCTTGAGGCCCTAAATTCAAGAACACATGCAAAAAATAAGTAAATAGGGCTAGGAAGGTGGCTCAGTGGTAGAGTGCTTGCCTTGCATGCATGAGGCCCTGGGTTCAATTCCTCAGCACCACATAGCAGAAGACAGAAGTGGCACTGTGGCTCAAGCGGTAGAGCACTAGCCTTGAAGTGAAGAGCTGAGGGACAGCGCCCAGGTCCAGAGTTCAGGCCCCACCACCAACAAGATTAAATAAAGCTTGAGGAATTGTGCCATAAAATTGGAGGGCCTGGCTGTAGGCATTCCACATTTACTTTGAAGAGTGGTGCTGTGGTTATAGCTAATGTCTATCTTCCAATCTGTCTGCTTTGATGTCTCAGCTGGGAAGAGTTTGTGCACGATACTTTATGCCATAGTTTATTGGTTAATCAGATCCATTGAGCAAATGCTTGCTAAGAAGATCTGGGAGTAGTATAGCTAGGAAGAACCAGAGAAGATACCTTCTTTGGGATAAGATCACAGAATCATTAGCACAAGGAGAAATGTTGACTACTAGATGGGGGGGGGGGGGGGTGTCAGGCGGGGTTACAGGGTGAGAGTCTCACTATACCTCCTTGACTCAAATCAACCCTTGCATGCACTTTCTGAAGAAAATGAGGAGTAGGTCTCTTTTTACATTTCATCTTTTCAACATTCCTTAGGGGTTTCTCAGAGATTTAATAATTTGGGAAGTTGAAAGAGATTAAATATTAAAGGCTAAACCACATATAAGACAGACTGGGATTAGAAGAGAGATAGAAAAGGGAATAGTAGGAATCTTCCTGGCTACGTGTAGAATCGGGAGATTCTACATTGTCCATTAGGGAGAGATCCTTGGAGAATCCCTCCTGGAGATGAGTGACAGCAGACATGAGTTCCAGGGGCTGTGCAATCTGAGGTCACATAGAGGATGGGACAGGACGAGCCAGCGCATGGAGTTTTGTGAAGTATTGTATATGTAGTCCGCCCAAGAAAGGGCTGAAGCTATGTGTTATCTGGGGAAGATGAAGTATCTAATTTTGCAATTTTATGATTTCTGCAAGATGAGCTGCTAATGGATTCTTCATTACAAAAGAAAGTTTGCTTGTGGAGGGGAAGGGGAAAAACAAATCGTTTAAATAGGGATACAGGTGGACCCATTGCAACAATGAGATGTACAAGTCGTTATGTCGAAAATGAACTTTACAACTTTGGTGGGGGAGGTGGGGGGGAGGATGGGAAGGGATGGGAAGGGGAAACAAAGGAGGAGGCTACAATGCTTGATAAGAAATGTACTCATTATCTTGCCCATGTAATTGTAACCCCTCTGTACAGTATTTTCACAATAAAAA